TTGGAGGTGCTGATTCTCATCCCAGCTGCTTCACACTCGGCTGCAAACCGCCCCAGTGCATGCTGGAGGTCCTGGTTTGATGGCGCCAACAGGACAACGTCATCTGCAAAAAGCAGAGACGAGATCCTGTGGTCCCCAAACCGGACTCCCTCCGGCCCCTGGCTGCACCTAGAAATTCTGTCCATAAAAATAATGAACAGAACCGGTGACAAAGGGCAGCCCTGCCGGAGTCCAACATGCACTGGAAACAAGTCTGACTTACTGCTGGGGATGCGAACCAAGCTCCTGCTCCGGTCGTACAGGGACCGGACGGCCCTTAGCAAAGGGCCCCGGACCCCGTACTCCCGGAGCACCCCCCACAGGGCGCTGCAAGGGACACGGTCAAATGCCTTCTCCAGATCCACGAAACACATGTGGACTGGTTGGGCAAACTCCCATGAATCCTCCGCCACCCTGAAGAGGGTATAGAGCTGGTCCAGTGTTCCACGGCCAGGACGAAAACCGCATTGTTCCTCCTCGAAATATTCTTTCCTCCTCTCTCGAGGAGTAAAGTTCCAGAGCCCCATGGAGGTGAGCCCGACTATATCTAGCTGATACCTCTCAACCTCCTGCACAAGCTCGGGCTCCTTCCCCACCAGTGAGGTGACATTCCATGTCCCCAGGGCTAGTCTCCGTGTCCAGAGATTGGGTCCCCACCCTGGCTCCAGGGTTGGCCCCCGGCTGCGCCATGCCGGGCGACGTCACGTCCTTGATTTTAATCTTAAGGGGCTTTTGAACTGCTCTTAGTCTGACCCGTCACCCAGGACCTGTTTGCCTTGGGAGACCCTACCAGGGACATATAGCCCCCGACAACATAGCTCCTAGGATCACTCGGGTACTCAAACCCCTCCACCACAATAAGGTGGCGGTTCAAGGAGGGGACACATTTACATGTAATATAACAAAAAGGAGAATGTATTGAGTTTGTGCAAACAGCAGGGGGTAGTCTTTTTATGTTCTGTGTTGGGTTATGGTCCAGGGGCAGAGGGGGGGAGGTAATTGACAGCATTCAGCATCCTCACAGCCTAATGGATGAAGCTGTTTTTAAGTCTGGTGGAGTGGGCCTGAAGACTCCGATGCCTTCTCTCTGAAAGCAGGAGTCTGAAGTGGGAGTGTGTTGCGGTGGGAGATGTCATCAGCAATGCTGATGGACCTCATCATTTAATAATGTGGTTATGCTTCTTCAAGAATTGCTTGTAATCCAAAACGATTCATGACACAGTGTTTAAAGTCTTCTTTACATTTCAAACTATTTTAATAAGCTGTAAGCCAGACTGAATTAACACAGAACATTTGAGGACTTTTCTGACATCAGATTCTCATTTTGTCAGGGTTCCACTGGTTTGCCTGGGATGCTTGGTCAGAAGGTAAGAATAATTAAATGGTGTGGACCTTTAAAATTTTGATCAGAAACTAATTGTTCCTGAACTTATTTGCTCCTCAGGGTGATCAGGGACCACATGGGGAGCCAGGGATCCCAGGGAAAAGAGGACCCACTGGGCGACCTGGGAAAAGAGGCAAACAGGTGAGGCCAATAACAAGCAAGAACTAGAATTTCTGCTTTGCGGTTGTATGCCTCTGCCAACCAGTCAAATTCACAGGTATGGGACAGAAGTGAGGTCACTGACCTTGACTTCAGACCACCACATTGTAATCCTACAGTCCAGTAGGACATTTGTGTCAAATTTGAAGGATTTTGCTTAAGGTGTTCCTGAGATATCACGTTCACAAGAATGAGACGAGTGTGAGGTGACAGTGATCTTTGACTGTCAAAATCCAATCAAGTTATCTTTGAGTTCAAGTGGAAACTTGTGCCAAATTTGAAGAAATTCCCTCAAGGTGTTTCTGACATATCAGGTTCACAAAAATCATACAGACAGACTTACAGATGGCCAGAAGAACATAATGCCTCCAGCTGCGACTATTGCTGGTGCAAAGGTATAAAATTATGCAAGGTCTTTGACTTGAGATGTCCACAGGGACTGAAGTATCTTTGGTGTCTTAGATCTTCTCAGTCCACATGTTTAACACCCACATGTTACCCCATGGTTTCCACTATCTGAGCTATGCACAAGCAGCAGCAGCAGCATGCAGGTCACTTTCAGTGTGCCTGTGTGTCTGTCTGTATTCTCTGTTTATGTGATATTGCCTGGTTTGCCCAGGGCATAAAAGGTCAGACTGGAGAACCAGGAGTCATGGGCCCCCCAGGTCCACCAGGTCCAAACGGTCACCCTGGACCACCTGGTCCACCTGCCTCAGGTAACTCAAACACATCACAAACACACATAAACAATCAGCCTCATTTTGCTGTATTGTGGTTGTGTGTGTTACTACCAAATTTATTGTTGTACTCTTACTGTTTCTACCAGGTTTCTACCTAGTAGGAGAAAAAGGCGAGAAGGGTCACTCAGGTCCACCAGGTCACTGCGACTGTGATTCCATTCTTGGAGCCAATAATGCTCCTTTTGGAAGTTACACACAACGGGGTGGCCCCAGTAAAGTCCCTGGAGTAGGGCTTTGTTCCTTAACCATATAACCTTTCAAACCAACTGTACTGTATTTTTATACTAAATCAATCATTGCTCTTCTGTTTTCACTGCCTTCTGTATATACTGTATGTGTGTAGATATTTGTCGTCAACAGTGAAGAAGAGATGGCCCGTCTACGTCTAGACAACACGATAGCATTTAGGAAGGATCAGAGGATGCTGTACTTTAAAGATAAAGATGGATGGAAGTCCATACAGGTAATGACTATTAGAGTTATTGGTGCTGCAGCCTATAATATTATAATATATTATTTGCAGTTCAGAACTATAAAACCTGCCCACATTTGAGAGAGACAATTTGCCTTGGAAAGAGTAGTGTAATAAAATAAAAATAAAAAATTGAGCTTTCCATTTTCTCAGCAGTTGGCATTTGTTACCGCAAGCCGTCATGGAGATGGCTCAGTTATAAAAACAGTACTTGATATACATTATGTTCATGGTTGTAAGAAGAAGACCAGGAGATTTTGTTGAAAGCCCTGGGTAGATGCTAATACATGAACCTTGGGCAAAATTTAGTTGAAAACAGTTTTTAGACATCCACTTACCAGGTTACATAAAACTCCCCCATCTAATTAAGCCAAGTTACTGCTTAAATGCCTCAACATCTTTTTTTCTGCACACCCCCAAACCTGAGCTCACTGTCTCAAAATGTACAGTCCATGAAATGCCAAATCACCACTTGTTTTCTCCTTTACAATTTGGCTAGCCCTTTCAGCCATTCCAGTCCACAGAGAAAGTCCCGGACAGAGTTGGTGTGTGTGGAGATGGGAAGGTGCAGGCCCAGCACGGAGAAGAGTGTGATGATGGGAACCAGATTGTCACAGACGCTTGTCTCAGTGAGTTACATGCCTCTCTCACTTACACACAGCAGAATTTACACTAAGGTAGATGTACAGAAAAAGTGGATGCATTCTACTAATGCAATCAACTGTAAATTGCTTTTAAATGAAGCTAATTTGAGACAACCTTAATACAATTTCTGTAATATACAGTGCACCAAAACTTTAGCTTAGAGTTTATGTTAGTATAAAAAAGAAGAACTACTCTCTGACAGTAAAGCAGGTTAGAGACACCATGCTGTCATATACCCAGTTGTGCACAAAATGCCCTTCAGAGCCACAGTACACCACAGAGACTTAGCCCACAAGGCAGAGGATAAAAGCAGTAAGCACCTTCCCTTGATCTTTCATTAATCTTACCGTCTCTCTTTTTTCCTGCAATCCTCTCACTACTAGCTACTTCAATTAAATTAACAGGGAAATGCTGCACTGGCATCACTGGAGCACACAGGAGTGCCAAAGCAATTAGTAATGTCCTCTCTCTCGCTTGTCTCTCTTGCTCTCCCTTACCACTACACTCTCTCATCTACCTTCCGTCATCACTTTAGACTGTAAGTGGGCCTTCTGTGGAGATGGCTACCGACATGAAGGCATGGAGGAGTGTGACGGAAAGGACTTTGGTTATCAGACCTGCAAATCTTATCTTCCTGGGTATGTTCACAGACTGCTTTCAGGGTGGATACACAAACATTACCATGTCTCTTCACTTAGGTAGTTTGCTACTATAGTCCAGCATTCACAGAGATCATCTGTACTGAGGTAGCACAGTTCAGTTCCTTTGGAATCAGCTGCACATTTCCGCTGTACCCATCTGGGGACTGTAAAGTAACTGTTGTACTGTTACTGTGATTTCTGAAACTATCCAGAGGTGATGGTACACTGTCACTTGCTGAACAATATTTTAGATACAGTAGTTACACCAACTCTGCATATTTTATACTTGTGCTTATAGAAATAGTTGGACATTTTGGGGAATACACATATGCTTTCTTGTTGGGAGTTAAATGAGAGCTAGATCCAATTCCATCCAGCACATAACTGCCTGTAAAATCATAAAATTAAGTTGTAAAAATGTGTTTTTCACACAGTTTAAACAGATATAATGTGTTTAATTAGTGAACTTCAAAGGTGCTTTTCTCTTTAGCCTTGGCCAGATTCATGCTTTACATTCTTTATGCTAAGATAAGCTAATTGCCTCTTGGCTCTAGCATATTGCAAACAGAAATGAGTACTAACTTCTCATCTAATTCTAGCCAAGTATGTAAATAGGATAGTTTTTGGGACACATGTGTGCACTGTAAATATGATGCTGGAGCCAGCAGCAGTGAGTTAGTGCAACTTAGAATAAAGACAACACAAAACAAAATCTATCCCCAGCACAGGGAGTTATGTGCCATACTGTTATCTTGTCCATGTAACTTTTTTGCAGTCTTGAATTAAACTAAATAAAAATGTTGTCGTCCAGCCACATATTTACTGCATAGCCATGACAGTGGTACCAATTTTCTAACTCTTGGCAAGAAAACATAAGAATATTTCCTAAATGTTGACCTACTGCATTACTGCATAAATTGGTAGGATAGTCTGTGTAAATGTAATTATATAATGCAAAAATAATATTCCATGTATTTTGCAGATCCTTTGGGCAGCTCAGATGCACCGACTCTTGTCTCATTGATTCCACTGGCTGCAAATACTTTACCTGAACTGAATAGTAAAAAAAAAATTGGCCACATTGCAACTTGGAAATCTCTGTTTCTGATTGTGGGGTTCATACTGTAGATTTCTACTGAAGTCTCACCCCTGAAAAAAATAACTGATGGACTAATAGAAAGAGTGCAAAGGGGATCTCTTGTGCCTGCTCTGAGCCATGAAAAGTTATGAGAGTCAGCGCTGAATGGATTTCTTTAATTGACCTCAGGGAGCAGCTCCCTGTTACTGTTACACACCACTGGCTGTAGTACTGTTCTGGACACTGGGGAGGGTGAGAATCTTTTAACTATTAAATGACTGTATTATGTGCAATAGTTACAATGTGTATGACTTGCTGACTGTTACTGCAAAAATAAGCTGTGTTCTGACTTCTTTTGTAACAAGAGAGAAGAACTTGTCTTTCCTGTACTGTAGTATGCAAATCAAGTGTAAATGTGTTATTTTGTGCAATGTATTAGAAAACATTTTTGAAGTGCAATGCTGTGATATTGCATGTAAATGTGTATGAGTGCACTGCAGGCTGCTTTAACCCCTTCTGTAACTGTACTCGCCAAAGTGTGGTCCTTTAGAAATGAATGTCCAAATAATATGACCAACAGAAACAAAAAAAGAGTAGCAGGATTTTGTAACAGCATGAAGAACTTGCTCAGTTACATGAAAATTACCCCAAAATAAATTCAGTAAAAGGTGTATAACTAATCATCTGTCTGCATGACTTTAAATGTCAAACACTGTAAACGAATAAAGATTTGTTCTACAGTCGAGTCCTACTTCAACAGACACAAGAGGGGATTGTGAGAGTGCGATTGGAGGCGGGGTTTATGGGGGGAATCAACCAATCGGAAGAACACTTTCTGCAACAACTTGTATGATGAAACGTCACTGCCACGTAGAGGGCCATCTGAACGTTTGTTGAAACTTTGTCCGTAGGTTTAGCCTTGTGTTTTCTCTAAAATGCTGCTGTCTGTGCTGAGCTGGCTTTGCTCGTCCCTGTTTGTGTGTGTCCGCGGAGGAGCGCTGCCTGAAGCTGAGGTGGACATAGAGGTGCTGCACAGACCTTTTCTTTGTCACCGGAAATCGAAGTATGGAGACATTCTGCTGGTGCATCATGAGGGATACTTAGAAAATGGGACAATGTTTCACAGCAGGTACGTTTCATGTCTGACAAGAGGGCTTCCCCCATTTCTTCTGGTTGCTTACACGTAACGGAGGATATTTTAATTCAACGAGGCCTATTTAGACTGCACGTCATTGCTGCAAGGTCTACTGTTCCATTTTAGTCATTTTATTTGCATTTCATATCGCTGCGTATATAGTCACCTTGTAAAGCTTCTGTGGGTTAAAAAGAAAAAAAAAAACTTCCTCTCTAGCTTTAATCCATGGACGGATAATGACACAGTGGTGCCCTGGGCATAGACATGTAAAGGGATCCCCACCCTTCAACATAGAAGCAAGACATCCAGACTAAAAGATACACGTTTGTTTATGGCCATTTTTCTATTTTTATGAATATGTTAATTTCCCTGTAGTCATTTTGTATCGTTGTGTAGTTTAGTGTCTTTTAGCTGATGTTTTGTGTATCTTTGGGGACATTCTTGCATCTCTCTGTGGTCTTATGTCTCTCTGTTTTATTATGCTTGTCATTGTAGGTCCTGTTTTGGTTGTTTTGGCTCTCCTTGCAGATGCTTTGTGTCCTCTTGAGGACATTTGGAATCTTGTAAATATTTTTGTATTTCTTGTGGTTGTTTTGTGTTTCATTTTGGCAATTTTTGTCGTGTTCTGGAATATTTTGCAGGCAATCTTCAGGGTTTCCCAGACCCCTAGGGCTGATGGGCCTGTGTCCACTAGGCCTGATCAGTAATCCATCCATGCTTTAAGCTTAACAAGGAAAGCTCAGTTCCCCCTCACTCTGTTGCACATAAAACAGAAACTATTGGTGTGTCTAAGGTTCTACAGATAAATTAGAAAATGTTTCTGATTTAGAACTGATCCTTGATAGATTATGATTGACGGGAGAACTGTGAGAAACCTTTAAGTATGAAGTCTTCAAAGTTCAAAGTGTTTATTTGTCATATGCACAGTTAAGAAACATGTTTCCCTGTACAATGAAATTCTTACTTTACCGTCCACATGAATGCCACAAAATACAAATGAAATATAAAGTAGATAAATAAGTAACACAAAATCTAAGGCACTTAAAGCAGCAAATGCAGCAATATAATAAAACAATATATAATAAGAGAATGTATGCTGCATGGGAGCAGCATGTGCAGCAGTCAACAGTCAATGTGCAATTATGCATGTGCAAACTGAGAATGTAAACAGTACAACATGTATTTCCTGGTAATAAACTCCTCAGCTGTTTAGGAGTCTGATGGCAGAGGGAAAGAAAGAGTTTTTCAGTCTAGTGGTCCTACATTTCACACTTCTGAACCTCCGGCCAGAGGGTAGGGAGGTGAACAGTCCGTGATGGGGGTGGGTGGGATCTTTGAGGATGGAGGCAGCCTTCCTATGCACCCTGCAATGGTAAATGCTCTGCAGAGAGGACAGTGGGGTCCTGGTGATCTTCTCCACCGTCTTTACTACTCTCTGCAGGCCCTCCTCAGCCTCCTCAGGAAGTACAGCTGCCGCTGGGCCTTCTTGACCAGCTGTGTGGTGTTGAGTGTCCAAGTGAGGTCCTCACTGATGTGGACGCCCAGGTATCTGAAGCTGCTCACCGTCTCCACTTCGAGCCCCCGGATGAACAGTGGCTGATGAGATCTCCTCTCCTTCCTCATGTCCACTATCATCTCCTTCGTCTTGACTTTACAGCTCACTTCATGTTAGAATGCTGATTCTCTTCTGCTCACAACTCATAAATAAAAATAATTCATAAATATATTAACAGAGTGAAACATCTCTATCAGTATTTAATCCCCTAAAAACATCTCACCATACAATTTTCAGTATTATTACTGTATATCCAGGACATCTCTTTAAACAGTATTTGATGTCATAAGGTTTACATCACATAAAATGAGTGCATATTCTTTGCATTGCAAGTACATCCAGATGTAACCGTAGCAAAGAGGCTTCACTGTTACTACCTCTAAAGTGTGTCTGACAGATTGTCACTCCACTGTCTCTGCCAGCCGAACTCATGGTGACAAACAGCCAGTATGGTTTACACTGGGCATCAGAGAAGTGATCAAAGGCTGGGACAAAGGTCTGCAGGACATGTGCTCTGGAGAGAAGAGGAAACTCATCATACCTCCAGCCCTGGCCTATGGGAAGGAAGGGAAAGGTATTGTAGCTTTGTCTGTATGTATGCATGCTGTTAAACAGTTACACTGCTCTCTTCTTAGAAATGCATGTCGTTTTACCTAATGCACAGTGTTATTTATTAGCATGTTTGTATGTAAAACTGTCTTGTTTTAAAGGCTTTCTAGGAGTCCAACACTGAATGAAGGTTTCGTTCAGTGATATTAATCTAAATGTTCTCAACATGGAGCATGTGAACAATACTATGGTTTCCCCTGGTAAGCACACACAACCTGGTAACACATTCTGTATCTGTTCTGTGTCTAACTAACCATAGTTATGAAAAGAAAATCCTGACTGACTTTGTAAGACTAATAACGTATCTAAAGTTTGCTTCTCATTCACATTGTTCTCAGTCATTTACTCACAGTTCAATTCATAATGCCTTGCCACCTTTTCTGCAGCACTAACCAAACCTACTGTTTTTCTAATGAAGAAGCAGATAGCTAGTGTGAGTTTTAGGTAATCGCATGCACTGTGGTGTTTTCTGTGTTCAGGTAAGATCCCACCTGAAAGCACGCTGACCTTCATTATTGAGGTGGTTGAGATCAGAAATGGACCGAGGTCACATGAGTCCTTCCAAGAGATGGACCTCAATGATGACTGGAGGCTCTCCAAAGATGAGGTGAAGACAAGGATGGTGTTTGCTTATGTCTTGCCCAGGAAATATTTTTACTTTAAAAACAGATCAGTGAGCCACCTTTTTTCTAAGTGAATGACTACATTCACATTAACCAGGTTACAATCGGCTTTCTTGTGTATGATGATTTCTTAACCGTCATGTAAACGGGAAGCCTGGTTTCCGTAATCAGGGTAGAGGATTAGGGAAACCTGATTTCCTAGGAGCACATGTATATTGGGATTTTTGGGTAACCTGATTACTGCCGTGCATGTACAGTGCCTTGCGAAAGTATTCGGCCCCCTTGAACTTTGCGACCTTTTGCCACATTTCAGGCTTCAAACATAAAGATATAAAACTGTAATTTTTTGTGAAGAATCAACAACAAGTGGGACACAATCATGAAGTGGAACGAAATTTATTGGATATTTCAAACGTTTTTAACAAATAAAAAACTGAAAAATTGGGCGTGCAAAATTATTCAGCCCCCTTAAGTTAATACTTTGTAGCGGCCAACACAAACTAGACTTTTTCAGTAATTTGTTGCTTTGCTTTCCTTCATCAAAAGGACCTAAACAATTGTTAACCTCAGCTCGAAAATGATTTTCAGAACTCAAAGATCTCCGGTACAGCCTAACACTAAACAATTCCTCATGATCTGCCTCTGCAGGGGTACTAATGCCATCGGAGCCACACTGTATAAAACAAATACATGAAACGATCGATTTAATTCATGTAGACTGATGAATGCACTTTTGACTGTTTTGGCATTTTGTGATGTGACTTTGTGGTGTTGGGTGCCTTTAATCCTTGTGTATTTCATCTCACTCCAACAGTGTGTGAATACATTTTATATACTTCTGTTTGCAGGAGTGTGTGTGTGTGACAGACAAATAACATATGTACAATAGGTCAGAACAAAACTATCTGCCCAGTTAATGTAATTGTAATATGATCGTTAAATTGGCTCATGGATAGATGTTAAAACGAACCACCCTGTTGTTTATCTGTATTCAATGGCCCGTGAGTCAAAATTCACACCTAAAGTCATTCAAATGAATCATCATTAGCGTGGAAGGAAAATACTTAAACAAGTCTCACTCATCCACTAACATGAATTAGCGAATTGCGTGTTTGCTTAACTGCAACTAACAAAACGAGGATGTAGGTAAATATTGAAATTCCCTTCGATTGGTGGCCAGTCTGTAAAGCACCGGGTGAGCAGGCGCTCCCTATTGATGAGCTTCAGCTAATCCATCGCATTTCCCTGTAAATAGCTTTCTGCATGAGAAAGAGACCCCCCCCCCCCCCCCATCCAGGTGTTAGAATGGCCAAGTCAAAGTCCAGACCTGAATCCAATCGTGAATCTGTGGAAAGAACTGAAAACTGCTGTTCACAAACGCTCTCTATCCAACCTCACTGAGCTCGAGCTGTTTTGCAAGGCGGAATGGGCAAAAATTTCAGTCTCTTGATGTGCAAAACTGATAGAGACATACCCCAAGTGACTTACAGCTGTAATCGCAGCAAAAGGTGGCGCTACAAAGTATTAACTTAAGGGGGCTGAATAATTTTGCACGCCCAATTTTTCAGTTTTTTATTTGTTAAAAACGTTTGAAATATCCAATAAATTTCGTTCCACTTCATGATTGTGTCCCACTTGTTGTTGATTCTTCACAAAAAATTACAGTTTTATATCTTTATGTTTGAAGCCTGAAATGTGGCAAAAGGTCGCAAAGTTCAAGGGGGCCGAATACTTTCGCAAGGCACTGTAAATGCATTATCTGATATCTGCTGTAACCTGATTTCTTAAGTGCATTTAAGTGCAGTCATTGATTCTGTATTTGAGCCACTGGTTCCACCTGCAATTAAAGGCCTTGACCAATGGCAAAGTTCACTTAAGATGGCAACTCTTTGTGATAAAGGCCACAGATAATTATGGTTTTAATTTTTAATGAATTTGTAGAAGTTTCTAAAACATGTTTTTACTTTTATTATTATGGGTTATTGAGTGTAGGCTGACAGTAAAAATGTCAATTTTATCCATTTAAAATTAAACCTACAACAAAATGTGCAAAAAGTGAAAGGGTCTGAATGTTTTCTGAAGTGATGTATACATATATTGTCACAACTTTTTTTTTTTTGGAACACCTTCAGTCTTACTCATGTCTCACTCTCACTGTATCTGCCAGGTGAAAGAATACCTGAGGAAGGAATTTGAGCGTCACGGCTACCCTCCCAATGACACTCTACATGAGAACATGGTAAAAGATATTTTTGCCAAAGAGGATGAAAACAAAGATGGCTTTATATCCTCCAGAGAGTTCACTTACAAACACGATGAACTGTAAAGTCTCTCCCAGTTTCACAGCTCATTCATTTGTCCAGCTTTCATGAGATCACATTTGAGGTTCAAGTTTTATTTCAAGATTTCTCTCAGGTTCCATTAAAGTATTTCAGTTTTATAGAAGTACTGTGTTTTGTGTGACACTTAACCCATCCTGTGTGAAGCTGTGTCCAGTGGGCTTTGAGCCAGAGTCCCTTGTGTGTTTACTTATTTTTAAATGTTAGTAGAATATCTGTGGTAACAGAGAAAGAGCTACAGTACTTGTTAATAAATATCTCTATGAAATTCCCCTTAAGGGAAGTACAGCTTGGTTTCTTTATGAAATATTACTAGTTATATGCAATTTAACTTGTAAGTCCGCTTTAAAAGAAAACTTTAACATTTCCTGTATGGTAAGCAAATTAGTCCCGTTACGACTGGTCATTTTCTGTATAGTCCATGTGGTCGAAACTATTTAAATCAGGCTTATGTCTTTGTATTTAGTCATGAAAATGTGAACCTTTTATCTATTAAACAGTAAACTGGGGGTATAATGGCTTTTTTACATTAAATGACTTATCAGAACAAGTCAAGCAGCTCTGTTGTATAAGCCAGCATACATAGTACAGAGCCATGGCACAGGTAACCTTGAATGGAGTTACTAGTGTTATTAGAGACAACGTTGGGAAAGTTACTTTTGAAATGCAATAGGATACAGATTATTACTTACCCTGTTAAAAATGTAATATGTAACTAGTTTATTACTTCAACTGAAAAGTCAAATATGCAGCCCACTGGACAAGTAATAAGCATAGTGCATATTTAGTTAATTGCATCTTGAACACACATTACTAATATGGTGGGACAGGAGGTTCTTTATTTTATGTAAGTGCATGTGGTTGCATTAGCACCATCATGGCCTTGGCGTAAGCACTAAAATTTGTCCTAGTGGCTTTGCTGAACAACGACGTCTGGAAATATGCCAAGAGAAGGCATTCGTGCATGGCAAAAAGATGAAAAGCAACAGAATGTACATTCTAAACTTTTAACCGAAAAGAATATATCCGAATGTAACCCTGTTGTAATCACCAAAATTTTGTTTAGTAACAGTAATTTAATTACACATTTGTTCTCAGTAACATAACTGATTACAATTACATTTAATTAAGTTATTCCCCTGCACTAACTAGAGATACTTGTTTTTGACAAGTCAGAGTTTCTGTGAGGAAGGTGCATTATAATTCTGTCTGCAAGATACATTCCAGAGATGAGTCAAGGACAAAGGAGATAAACTGTACCTGTTATTTTTTAGACATGTCATAAACCAGCAAATGTTCCCACAGTGCAGACCAGAATCTCAGCTGTCCTTCCTGTTTCTGTAGCTTTGGGGTGGACTTTCATTCATGTAAACACATCAAGAATAAACTCATCATGCAAATAGCTGCACTGATTTGAGGAGATATGTAGATTAGTTTAAGTTTTAAAACCAACATGATCAATAGTGGTTATGTAAACCTTTTTAAACAAAATTCTTTGGTTTATTTGGTGGTGACACCTTGTAATACTTTACACATTGAACCAGCAGGTGGCACTGTCCTCCTGGTGTTAGTATTGGTTACTACAGTGTGTGAAATGAAATGGTACAGTATATCTCACTCATTATGGATTCATGAAGTTGTATAACATAAAACAGCTGCATTTCCATAATCCTCAATGTCATTTTTACATGACATTTTTTAAAGATATTTTTATAGATTATTTTAGTACTTAAAAAAAAAAAAAAAAACACAAACTCACATACCTTCTGTGCAAGTCAACGGTTACCAAAAATTCACCCGGAACCTCATTTTCACATTGGGTTTTAAATTGGAATTTGGCTTACTTGTTGTAAACCAACCAAACAACAATCTCCCCCTGTTGGTGGCCATCGAATTTAGAAAACAAAGAAAAACTTTGTGAGATGATTGTCTTCTGCAATTTGTAAAAGGTAGCATTATCGGAGCATGTTGTCAGGCATTTATTCAGCAATCCTGGCTCTTAAGGAGCATCTACTATGCATCAGCTGTTGTTGGAACACAGTTTGCCCACATGTGACTTGATCTCCTGCAAACTGTTTAAGAATATCTCAGGCTTAGAAAAAGACTTGTAAGCACTTTGTGTACAGCAGGATGGATGAATACATCATAAAAGTCTCAGAGATTAAATATTCTATACTGTGTGCAGATACTGAAATGAAAAGACTTTAAAAACAACTACTGGATGACACTGTCCTAGGAGTGTATGTCTGTGGCTGGTGAGGATGAGCAGGGAGAGGCCTCCTCCTCACACACATTCAAAACATTCCAGACTGGACTATACACACACTAAATACAAGACAGGCACACAGAGAACTTGCATTCAAATAAATTCATGGCAGAGGAGGAGAAGCATCATCTTTTTTGCTTTTTGTGGAAGGATGAAGAACAGGGTGAGGCCTTTACTCATCTGAGGTGTGTCCTGATCTCATGTGGTTTGGGGTTCACTGTAAGAAAAGAGAAGGGAGAACAAGACAACTCAGCAGAGAAAACTTGAAGTCACAGGCAAAGCTGAGAAACAGAGCGTATGGTGCTGCTACCTTTGTTTTCTTTGCTGGGGTATATTCGAGGGAAAGGCTTGAATTCATCAGGAGGGGGTAAATCTTCAATAGGGTGGAACTGAAATTTGGATTCAAAATCATCTGCTGAGGTAGAGTGAAAATGCAGTTAGATGCTACCATTTCTCACATTTTCAAATACGTACAAAGTTATTCAAGTTCAGCTTCTATCAAAGGCCCCCAAAAATGTCATTTGAAAAATATCCTCAGCTTTATTCCCACTAAACATCAACCCTTCTTGCTCCTTCCCCGTTTCTTCCTTTAACATGGTTGGATGGATCTGTAAAATCATAGAAATTAGACTGCTCCCATCCTAATCAAAGTGATGAACATGTAGTGGTGATCTGGGACGTGCTTATTCTACCATATCTTATCCTAGTGCTGCTCTTATTTCAAATCACTCTGAACATAAACTAAAGTATAAGTATACTCCAGTTATACTAAGTCTGAACTAAATGTCTTAATTGTAAAATGACAATTGCACAATATCAAGTCTCACCTAGGCTGTGTAGGTGTCCATTCCTGACAATGGATGGGGGCAGTGGAGGTGGTGGAGGGGGAGGAATGCGGGTGGACAACTCTGTGTTGGGGGAACGTGCCGGAGGAGCTGGAGGAGGAGCTAGCCGGCCCATACCTGTTAGCATGGGTGATAAGGGGAGTCAGAACTGATAACAGTAGTGCATCCAAATTCTGTATTTTATTTTGTAATAGCCACTGAAACAGGCAAGGCCACATTTTTTTCCCTTTGAGAGAAAACATTTATGTAGTTTTAGAAAAACAGAATTACATAGCACATTCTGCAGGCTTTCTCTGCAACAGCTGCTACAGTACTCAAGAGAAGAGTAGAGTAGAGTAGAGTAGAGTAGAGTAGAGTAGAGTTGAGTAGAGTAGAGTAGGTACTTTATTGATCCCACAGTGGGGAAATTTCTGTGTACCAGAGAACAACCAACATAACACCATAAGAACAGAACTTCATAGAAACACGGGAAAGAACACAACGAGGACACAGCTGCTGTAACTTGCTGCCACTCCGCGTGACGCATGCGTACCTAAGTATGTAGTAACAAAGAACACTTAGTCTTAAAATAAAAAGTTACATAAAGGCAACAGAGCATTAGAACTGATACACACAAGTAAAACCTGCTCCTGCTATTTTTTCTGTATATCTAAGTGGGTGACAAATTAAATGAAAAAAAAAAAATGCATAAATTAGTGGTCGCTTCCAGGATGACAGTGCCCCCATCCATAAGGCATGAGGGGTCACTGAATGGTTTGATAACTATAAAACTGATGTGAATCATATGCTTTGGCCTTTCTATGTCTACCGTCATACAGAAAAGTTAGTGGCAAGACAAAGAGACATGTTCACCCACCTGCACTCCTGGGCACAGCAGGTGGACGCCGAGTGGGGGCTGTACAAGGGTATGATGGTGGCAGGGAGCGCATGGCTGGGGAGGGTACTGGTGCCATCTTGGGGAGAGGTGGAGGGAGGGTGGATGGGCAGGTGGGGCTGAAAGAAGCTGGAAGAGGGGGAGGAGGAGGTCCCAGAGGGCTGTCCCTCTGGATGGTGAACCTAAAAGGTTCAGAATGGACTGCAGAGGGTGGTGGAGGGTAGAAGCACCCTGAGGAGCGGTCCCCTGGGACAGCAGAGGGAAGCTGAAAAGGTGGAGGTGGAGGTGGAGGAAGAGGTGGGGTAGAGGGGTGGGAGATGGTGGTGTGAAGGGAGTGCTGGATGGGGAGCCAGGTGGGCTTGGTGATCTGGGATGGAGGTGGAGGAGGAGGGCAGGAGGGGAGAGGCGGAGGTCTGTTGGCCGGCCGGTCCTGGAAGGCTTGAGGTGGGGGAGCTGGGGGGGGAGCAGAGGGAGGGGCAGGAGGAGGAGAGGGTGCGGGGAAAGGAGGTGGGTTCTTGGTGACATAAGAAGGGGAGGGAGGAGCAGAGGAGGAAGACACGGGTGGACAAGGAATGGAGCGTCGGCGTTCCACTGTCGGGGGATGCTCAGGGCCGCTGCTTGAGTCAACTGACGTGGGTGGGTTCCACAGTGGCTTCAGGGAGGCTGATGAGCTCGATCGTGTCACTTTAACATGCACACACAAATGAAGAGGAGACATCTGGACGGTCAAAATAATCAGAGAAGGTTACTGAAAAACCATAGGCCTTGTAAGACATTTTTACCAACCTGTGGTCTTGACTGCTAAGTCTCTTTGTCCTATAGGCCTAAGAGTGGGGAACCCTCTGGCAAAGAGCCCGCCCAAACCCTGAGAAGCACCAACACTGCTGGATACATCACCAGTGTTAGCCTTGGGCTCTGGAAACCAAACACAATTACAATTATTTTTCAAAATAGGGGCATCGGCGGGCATTTAATCATTGCTGATTTTTTGTTTCATTTTCAGTATGCATTTCATTGACTGAAGAATTCATTCATATAGATTAATTCATTCATATATTTGTTAACTGTTTCATGTCTGTTGTGAATTTAGTTTCATGATTGTGCAAATGTTGGTCTTCAAGACAATAAAGGATCTCAAACTAAGGTTTCAGGCAGGAATGAGTCAAGTTTGCACCGCCTAAAGCACACAACAAAACAGAGCTGTATATTTCAACTGCCCTTTCTCCATATATGTAACTAACATTGCTACCAAAACTGCTACGTACTGGTCAACAGGTACCATAGACCCCTCTATACAAGTTTCCAACTGCATAAGCAAAGTCATTGACTATTTCAATACACATATCCATTTAACGTTTTATAATACAGTGGTCACCCATGTGTCAGCTTTCTGGTGTGTCAATGTGTGGAGATAAAAGTAAAACAACACAGTTTCTTCTATTTCAATGAAAATTATGTGAAGCATTTACAACTATTTTTCTATCTTAATTTCCATTTTAATGTCATAGTTTACACTTGAATTTCAGTTTTAAGGTTATTATACCCAGTGGACACAGAATTGAAAGTACTGTCCATTAAACATTTAAAAATACAAAAACTATTACTTTTCTTTAAACTGAACATATTACAGAACCTTCTTGTAGATCTACTAGGGGTACAATGTGTCTCATAAATTCTGTTTGCTGCTGTACAGTGTAGTCTAACTTCATCTTCTGCCTGCTTCCTTATCTTCTATGGCATGCTTCCTGATCTGTGTACTGGACTGTATGTTTGTGTGCGTTCACTTATAGCCCTGAGAGACACAGCATGCAACATTATTTTCTTTCACTCTCTTCTTACTTGCAGCACATTTTTTATTCTATTCAATAAAGTGGCATCTCAACATACAAACAGCTACTGAGAAACCCTCAATGCTCTATGACAATGGATGAGTTAGTGGTAGCATGTGTAGCTAGCAGCATGTGAGTGCCATTTAGCATCAGAACAGTGTGTGTATATGTGTTGGCAGGTTGATAACTTACTATCGACGACAGGGGCACTGCGGTCATTGACCTGTGTGACTTTCCTGAGTCTAGTTCCTTTCTGGATGTCAGCCAACAAAGCATTCCTTCCACCTCCTCCTCCACCAGACTGGAGTTTAGGAGGCTCTGACGGACACTGACACATGCAGTGGAAAAAAAAAAAAAAAAGAAAAAAAAAAGAGCTTTTATATAACTGACCATGTTCACATACTATATACTTATATAACATCTTTATAACCCACCAGAGCCACCATTAATTGGTTAAAAAGGTCACCAACTATTCTGACAATGATCAATTGCTGAAGTAATTTATCAGGTAAGAATTTCAAACATTTGCTGATAGCTTCTCAAATGTACAGATTTGCTACTTTTTTCCATTTATTATGGTTACAAAACAAGAAATTTGAAGATGTTGGTAAATTTGGTGGACTGCAAAATGATAAGACTTCACTGATCCTTGGTGGGAAACTCACAAACTGCCCACCAGTAATTCAAATTGTAAGTATGCTCCACCTTTACCAGCTGCAGCAAGTGCCCATGGCAGGCTCATTTCCAGCCATTTAATTATTTCAGAATGATAAAACCCGAGAGCCTCCTCCTGAAAACAAGAGGAGAGCTCATGAGTGCACACAACTTCTGCTGCCAGTGTTATGTCAAAATCTGTTTCCTTATTGAGATGTGGTTTTCTCTAACCTGAATCCTAGCATTATCCTAACCACAACCACTGAGGGGGTCACTACATGAAACCGAGTTTTGAACAGGGGAAACACAAATCAACGGGGAACACTTTGAACATAAGACTAGTCAGGAAGCCAGGATAACACGTAAAAAAAACCCCAGACAAATAAGCTACGTTTTCGACAATGACAATACCTCAAATCCTACCTGACATGCTCGAGCCAGAATATGAAAGTGGACAGCACGATGAACCGCAATAGTTAGAATTCCCCCTCCATAGATAGGTAAACAACAGTATATGTACCCATGAAAAGAGATGTGCAACACTCTAAACAAAGTGGGTAATTGAGAAACCCCATATTTTAACTGGCATGATGCAGGCATAGTGACTTCTCCAGCCCTACAACAATTCTCTCTACAGAAACAACACATTAACAGACATGCAACGTGTTTTTTTTTTTTTTTTACTTACTGTTGCATCCCACAGAACAGTGGAAACATCACTCCCTTTCAAGAAGCTCCAAGATCAGTAAATCCAACTGGTGCATCTTACCCCTTAAATCCCTTGCATTACTGGCAACCAAATACACCCCCAAAGTAGTGAAATTAATTCCAACAGGTGGTGTAGCACCGACAGTAACATCATGGGTCGTTACAATCCTCTCACCAATGCACAACACATCACATCCAGCAGACACACTGACCTCAAGCAGTCAAAACAAACAGGTACAATGCTCTGGGGGAATCCAGCCTTGGTGAGCTGATCATTCACTGCCCCAGGGTTCTTCACAGGCTGGCTGCTTGTAGGTTAGGCTCAATCAGGTAAAACAGTGTAGTGTACAGGAACACTCCGGGACATGCAGTAACCTCAGGCCTTGTATTTTTATCCACATCCTCTGGTCACAGTGCAGCAGGAGGTAAAATACAATATCTCCACAAAACCATGTGCAGTCAAAAAATTCTACTTTTACAATGGCACCGGTGGAGGTCAGGCAAGCTCACACGAACGTGCCACTGCTTGGAGATTATGACTATTCAAGAAAACCCTTAAACTATCACATAAGGCCCTTGGAAAAAAAGGTGTTGTGAGCGAGAGTTAGCAAGGCTTGTATAAACCGAGTTGCTTCTGCATAGAAGTACTAGAACATACTGTACATTGGGGAGAACTGTGACCTCAGAGTATTGCTGTATCCAGGAGCTAAGCTGTGTGTCTGCTTTGTGGCCTTGTTTGCTAGCAGTGACAACTCACTTAACATGAGGACACTGTGAGCCTGCTGTGGAAACATAACACTCCTGTGCTACTGAGAGTCTGCCGTCTGCCCTACTCTGCCTGTGTGTATGTGCACTACCTCAATCAATAATGCAAATAAGCTCCAGGTGCTTGGTTGATGGTGAATGAGAAGGACGCAAGGGAGTGTTTACAATTGCATGAGAGAGAGTTAGAGAAAGACAGAGAGAGAAACACACAGCATTACCTGTGGCAGGGCAGCACTGGGTGGTGGTGGGAGTGGAGGGGGTGCTGGAGGAGGGGGAGGAGGTGGGATTGGCATGCTGAGGCCTTGGATACCTGCAGAAGACAATGCACACCTTGTACCTGGAAAGAAACTCAGTCACCATCCTATTCATGCAGTGCAGCTGCTGATCAGCTTCTAGGATTCTGTTCTTCCTCCAGAAGCTGCTACTGTGTAAAGGGGCAGATTTGATGACCTCCTACTCTCTTCCCTACATAGGAAGTGCTTTCACCAGAACACAGTGCAAAACAGGAAACAGCAAGCGCTCCATCCTCTACAGAAAAATCACCCCCACCCCTATCCTTCTCTTCTTCCCACAATGCCCTGTGGCAGGACTTTAGAGAGAAACAATGGAGAGTGTTGTGTGAAAAGTAATGGACCCCTACTCTAAGTGCTCACTGCAGTAACTGAATGGAAAACAATTTAAGGAAATCCCAAAGCAAGATGCTACAGCATGCAAACACATTGTTCTGTTTTCCTGACATGTAACTATGTACAGTATCTCTTTTAGGGACACTGGTTCAGTTCTCAAAGTGATAAGCACCAGTGTCCACAAGTGAAACTTTCCAGGAACAGCACATATCCAAGATTTTGTTATCACACTTCAATCTCAATTTGTTGTTGGCAACTCTGCAGTCACAGTCACTGAGACCTCCACCCAATGTCTTGACACCATAAATTCTTGATAAGCCATTTTCCATTACTGTGAATGACTGAAAACAGCCTGGGGTTTGTGTACAGTACATTCAGCTCTCAGTGGACTTTGCGTGCTCTTCCTAAGCAATTTAATAAGACAGAACAGAACCTGTTTTTGTTGAATCTCTATGCATCTCTCCCTCTTATCTTTGTGTACTGTGTGTAAAGTCTGTGTTGTGTTCCCTCTATCCAGCTGGCACACTGTCCTCTGGTGCTATTTCTATTTTCATATCTGTGTCAAGCAGCTTCTGTGACACTGCCAGGGTGGAACTTTAAAGGGGGTCAAGCTGGACGCTCTTGTAGAACAGGTGGGGCACTGGGTGGAACTGCCCCTCTCTCACACCAGCTTTTTTTTTTTTTTACCTCCGTCCTGTTCCTCGTGAAGCAAAGGAGGTCTGAAGTGACACAGACTGGAGCCGCCAGCTGTTACTAGGATTCTCACTCTTGACACACACTGACACAAAAATGTCAAAGACATGTAAAAAGATTGTTTACATGACAATAGAGTCAAAAATGCAGCACTACTACTCCCAAATCCCCCACGAATATTTAGATTTCCACTTTGGTGTTTTTTAATCTGCTGTAATTGACCCCCAGCAAACTGTTTTATGTCTTTGTTTGATGATAGAGTTTTGTTTTTTTTTTAGTAAACAAAATACTTTAATCATACAAGTAACACATAAAACATATTATTCTCCTTTGGTTTGGTTTTCATTTTTGCCACATTCATCAAATTGCCAAACGCAACGGGAAACAAATATTTTAAGAAAAATATGGTTGAGTTTTGAATTGTACACAAGAGTTAAAAGCAATCTGTTTATATTTTTGCCTTGCATAATTTTTGCTTGTTAAATGACGTGGCTGTGGTTTGTATTTTGTCCTCATAAGTAGGCTATAGGAACTAAACTCCATCTCGTCCACTGTAACATAAAAGCTGTGAAATAAGGCCAGGTTCACCTGATTAGCTGTGAATAACATGAGGTGCTTTAATAGCACAACTCATCTACCGTAAACAATTCCTAGGATGTCTGTCTGCCCCCTCACACCTTTCATGACACAGTTTTGTAGGAATATGACCATCTGGCATACAGAAGTGTGCATTAATAATAGACAGCAGCAAGTAGTAAATTAGACCATAGTAAGTCCTTGTCTTACCTTCAAGAAATATCCCAACAATCCACCTGTCTGCACGGAAATCTTCAGTGAAGTGGGGCGCTGCAGACTGGTCTCATGGTGCCGCCTCACACCGTGCCAGTGAAAATGTTCCCAAGTTATTTTTGGTTAAATGAGGCCACCGCTTATCGAGCGTTTGAGCAGTCAGTGACTAAACCTTGGGGAGATCCTGTAAATACTTCAGAAAAGTTGCAGAAATCCTTCAGTGTCCATACAGGGGCGCTGATAGCGCGACACGGTGGTCCTGCACAACGGCCTCTTTATAGCTCGGGCTGTTTACGGTATATTCCCCCTATAAGCGCACTGCAGGACGCGCGCACAGTGCAAGGCCACACATTACCGCCCCACTCTGAACACGGGACCAATGGACAAGGCCAATGGACAAGGAGAGGCAGGGCACTTAGCTCGGTGTCAGCGTCGTGCTGAAGGTCCCAAGAAACAATATGTGTACTCTCCGTTCAATCCCAATCCGTTATGGAATGGGAAACTGGGTAATGAAAAAGTGTTCATCTTCCATTTGTCACTTCCAAATACATAAAGCAAATAAGGAAAACGCCCATTTGCCATATATGTACCTGACAAAATAAGCTTATTAAAATCTTTTCTTATTAAAATCAAACTTTTGAACGATAAAAGTAGAGCTGTGTGGTTAATGTCCTCCTTTTCCTTTTTCTGTTTTCATGTGAAAATAGTCAAAACTGACGCCTAAGCGAAGCTTGGTATTTTCACAGTAAAAGCTCCGTTGTGTCTATTGAACAATCCAGCAGAATCTCCACCGACTGCAAGAGCTCAGGACATGAAGTGAGACATCTGGCTCTCACCTGATCTGAGAGCTGATTGGCTTAGATGCTGGTTCAACAACATCTTTTATAGAGATGTATCATTTGTTTTAAAATAGCAGCGATTTTGTGATTTTATTAGTTGTATGTACACTGTGAAGGTTTATTCTGTTATCAAACCAAAGGTTGGCTTTGATCCATTAGAGAAGCTAAATACTGTCAACATAAAATACATATAGGCTTAGTTCTCATACTGCAGAGTCTGTGATAGTTCTGCTCTGCGATATGAACATTACTGATTTAATTCCTGAGGTATTAAGTGACACAAAAGCCTTTGGCAAGCTGGATGTGAAGATTCTTAAAATGACATCTGTACAGAGGTGAAGCAGCAGCAGGCTGAATATCTGACAGATCAACAATGGCTGTGGATTTATTTCTACAGAAACATAGCCCATATATTTTTTGCACACTATTTGAGAAACTGTAGAGCTCACAGATCAGCCTGTCATCACACTCCTTGTCATATAGAAGAACGCCAGCTGTTTGGGCCCTGGGTAGAAGCTGAAAACTTTGATTTGATGACATTTTAATAATTTGGGATCAGAGTACAAGGATTCAAAACACATGAGTGGAGTCCTCACATAAATGCACCACAGTGTGTTTAAAATTACTCTTTTCACAAAAAATATTTAAATTATATGGACGCACACTGCATTCACAAAAACTAAAACAGACCTCATCTTCAAGGTCCCAATTTACAAATTATTAAATTTATCAACTTATTTATCAGTTGATGCCATTTTGCTGTTTTTTGGATTCTGTATTTAATCTATGGTCAATACAGTTGGAGCAGTGTTCCGTTTTTGCTGAGGCGTGTTTTGGTCACTGACTAGTGACGTTTGAAGCACTTGAGTGCCTCAGACGTCATGCAAATCAGCTGATGGGTTCGGTTTGTCATATGAATCACTTTGCAGGAGATCCTTATTTAGCGTGTTCATTTGAATTTTTCTTTGCAGAGCAGGTTGGTTAGTTGTTGTTGTTCCCGTTAGAGAGTTAAGGTTGTAGCAGATTGTGTATGTAGTGGAGAATCACTGTAGAGAGAGAGATCAATAGATAGCAAGTTACATAGAGAGAGAGATAGAGATAGAGAGAGAGAGAGAGAATAGATTAACTATCTAGCTAGATATACATACAGTATCTAGATAACAGTTACACAAGTACACCCTTTTTACCCACATACCCATGAACCACTTTACCAATGAACCCCAAAACATACTTTGCCAGAGCCCATAATATACGTATTCTGTATTTGCACCAGTCCCATGTGAAAATAACATTTGTCTGAATTTGTAGAGCACATCTCATGAATGTAGCAGCACCATTCAAATATTTCATAACACAAAATATAAGTGAAGAGTATATAGGGTTACAATCAGACATGTCAAATAAGAAACATGGTCTTCAACATGAGTTCATGTTTATTTTATATTTTACTGTGTCAGCTTGAAACCATACAACCATGTAGTGTAGTCAAACAGGAATATGCATGGCAAATCAAATTCCAAACAATCCATGAACCAGACACGTCTTGACTGCACTTCAATTTATTGACCAATAGATGTCCTACTCGAGCACTGTGTCATTGAAGCCTCCAGTAATGAACCATTTTTGTGAATACTGTGTCAAAGCTTCAACAAAGCCTCAATCAGCCATCACTAAACATGAGCCGTAATGCCTGGAAACTGAAGAAACTGCATTTTATAAGTCACTTTAAAGCTCCAACAGTTATCTTATTAAGACCTGGTACTACCAGAAGCTCTGCACACTGGTATATTTTTAAAACAAGGTAAAAATAAGATGTCTTCATCTATAATGGCTTTGTGGAAATAAAGGGAAAAATAAAGGGAACACAGCATAGTTGAATGTGTTATCTTTGTGTTCCCTTTATTTTTTGAGCAGTGTACAATGATATTGTGGCTGTAAAACTCAAACAGATGACAAAACAGCAAAGATGACATTATATAACCTTGTGTATTACTAAAGTCACATTTTCTTATGATGGGTGTGTGGTGTGGACCCCAGATGCAGACTCAGAAACTAAAAGAGTAGGAACTATAGAAAGCAGTTTATTAAATAAGTAATAGGTATGCTGAGTCGCAGGAGGGACACAGGAACTAGAGGACGGGCAGGTGTCTAGCAGCAGGCAGTCAGGTAAGCAGAATAATAGTCGCAGCTGTCGGGTAAGTATGCACAGCGGTGCTAGCAGTCAAGAAAGCACACGCTCAGATGGAGCCAGGAACTTACTCACTGCCTCGTAAAATGGCTTGACTTTCAGGCTGACTAGGCACAGCGAAATCATGGTAGTAGTGTTGCAGAAAGAAAACAGGCATGAGACGTAGCAGGACTTTAACACGAGTTGCGTGCAGTAACCTCGGGGCACGTACCGTAATGAACAAGCAGCGAGCCAATGGAAAACAGGCGGTATATGTGTAAGATTGGATTCTTATAGGCTCTAGTTACTTTGTAAGCTTTAGTTACTTTTCCTTATTCTAGTTTCCTTTAGTTACTTTTCAGTTCTTCATTTTCTTTTAGTTACTTTTCATACCTTTATTTTCCTTGCTTATACATATTAAAACTGTATTGATGACTGCTGTATTGTACTGAGTGAAACTTTGGAACTGTATGCTGTAAATTCTGTAGAGACAGGATGTCTGTATCTTCAAGTAACCAAACAGTCTATTTTACATTTTAACAAAGACCTGTTGGCCTGTTTTGCACCTTCACCTAAACCCACTTAGCCTATTCCAAGTTCTGCTTTGTCACGTGGTATTGTTAGGTATTTTTAGTCAGATAGACATTGGTTAGACACTTCATGTATTAGAAATGTTTAGTGTAGACAGGATGTCTAGCTCAGGCTGTTAAATGCTTAGTCATTTCCAGGAGTTACTCCAGGTTGTTCATGTTCAAGGATAACTAGATAGAAAGTTGATTACTGTTAGGAGACAGAATGTTTATTATTATTATTATGACGTGTTTAATCATAATCGTAATATCTTCTTATGCTTAGTGTCATGACATGTCACTAGATGTCCTGTCAGAATGTCTTAGATACACACCACACAATCAACAGACAATCACACATTGATTTTCTTCATGCTTTGACTACTACTATGGTCAGCTGCAAAGCTGGTACCGGGAGACGTCATGGTTTGACGTCCCTGTGTAGTATGGGGTTAGCCCAAAGTGATATAATGTATAGGCCTGTAAAGGCTGAAAACCATTATAAAGCCTCATCCGGTTCTTTCAAACCAGGAACTCCGAGGGACGACTCAGACCACTTGAGTATATAAAAAATATAACCGTGCTGGTTTATTCAAAAAGTCACAGGCAAGAATTCACACTTC